TTATACCCTATGCTTGATGATAGGGATGGTCTTGCATTTAATCTCTCTTCCTTGCCAGTAGTTCATCCAGCTTTGATAATGTTGGAGTTCTCTTCTGAAAATTCCTTACTTTACAGTATCCTTAAGTGTTTATATTGTTAATGGGTCTGTGGGAGTTTTCTCTTCTACATTTAGGTAATGTAAGTGCTAATAACGTTAATGCAAATTGTATTGGATTCCTGCAAGGCAAAAAAGGACCACGATAACATCACCACAGGAATGTGAAGTCTGTTTCAGGAATGCTTTTCTCTAGCCTCAGTGCTTCAGACATTTTTTTTTTTTCGATCCTCAAAATAAATATACCTCTCCTCAACACACCCCCGCCCCAACCTTCCCATTCACTGGTACTAAATCTTCTTTCCAGGGTGCCTGTTTTTATTTTCGTAGCCATTATGCCTTATGTCTGGAAAACCCTCTTGATCCTACCATCAAAACAGCTTCTGCAAGGCTAACCAAGCCCTTCTCTCTTCATCTGTTTAATAACAGAAGTAAATGAACGGAGATAATTAGATTTTAAATAAAAATTTCATTTACAAGTATTCAGTTAGATTCATTTTTTTTCTTCTTCCTTTTTGCACTTTTGGTGACATAAAGGAAAAAGGAAAATGATGCTATCAAAGAAAAAAGAAAAAAAAAAAACACAACAAAAAACCCCAAACAAAACCCCCTCAAACATAAAAGAAACAAGTAATGAAATTATTTCTGTTCTGGAGAACTCAAAAGCTAAACTTAAAAATCAGGCCATTTGTATTACTGAAGCAGTGACCTTCCTCAATCTGTAAAGTACTGGTTAAGGAACTTTGTCTTGTTTCTGGTTCTTTATAGACTGAAGTTTGCCTTGCTCAGTTGTTGAAATTTTTAGGATTATTGTTGTTATTACTTTTTTTTCACAGAATCATTAAGGTTGGAAAAGACCTTTAAGATCATCAAGTCCAACTGTCAACCCAACACCACCATGCCCACTAAACCATGTCCTGAAGTGCCACGTCTACACGTTTTTTGAACACTTCCAAGGATGGTGACTCTCCCCCCTCCCTGGGCAGCCTGTTCCAACGTTGGACCACTCTCTCAGTAAAGAATTTTTTCCTAATATCCAATCTAAACCTCCCCTGGCGCAACTTCAGGCCATTTCCTCTCGTCCTGTCGCTGGTTACTTGGGAGGAGAGACCAGCAACAACCTCACCACAACCCCCTTTCAGGTAGTTGTAGAGAGCGATGAGGTCTCCCCTCAGCCTCCTCTTCTCCAGACTAAACAACCCCAGTTCCCTCAGCCATTCCTCATAACACTTGTGCGCCAGACCCCTCACCAGCTTCGTTGCCCTTCTTTGGACACACTCCAGCACCTCAACATCCTTCTTGTAGTGAGGGGCCCAAAACGGAACACAGGATTTGAGGCGCGGCCTCACCAGTGCCGAGTACAGGGGCACGATCACTTCCCTACTCCTGCTGGCCACACTATTCCTGATACAGGCATTTTTTCTTTTTTAACCTGAAGAACTGGAGACAATTCCTTTTACCAGTCAGGTTGATTCTGTATTTTCAAACTTTCAGTACAGCTGTCTTCTTACTTGGGATTCTTGGTTCCTTCAAGGCCATCCCACCACCTTTTCAGGCTGCAGTCCATGAAGTCTATTGCATGACTGTTTGATTCTTGTTTTTTAATTTCTGGGCCCTCTTGTTAGGGGACATTATACTCTCTTGCAGGACTCTTCTTCCATGTTAAAAGGACATGTTCTTCTTGACTTGAGTGCTGTTATGGTATAACATCCCAAGAGACATGTTTCCTTAGAGCCTTTGCTAATAACATGTGTGACGGGCAGACAGGGAATGTCAACTTCTCGGTACCTCAAATACTGACCTCCCTTGAATCTTGGAACTTTTGGGTGCCGCCATGCTATTTGATGTTGCAGTGGTGTTGCTGCAGGCTATGTAAAAAGAGAAGGCAACGTATAAAGTTGTGTTCTCTCTGGTAAGGTTTCCTTGTAGTAACTTCTGCTGTGTTTGCTTTCCTTAGACAAGTTCTATAGGTTATAGCTGGAGCAGCTCAGAAGCAACATTGTGCCTGACTGATCAGCAGTCTGAACTGCTGAATTTTATAGAAGTTACTTTGGGAAGGACCATGGCTGCTATCACCAGCGTTATCACAGTGGGGCCTGGTGAACATCTTCACAGCTAATGCTTGATACCAAGGCTAAGATGCACCCTGCAGGTGGATAGCTGCCTGTGGTAGGGCCCAGAGCTGGGCTACGACGTCTCTGCCGTCTGTCTCTCTGCTCAAAAAGATGCTTCAGAAAAACCTAGTACTATAAAGCTCATTTTGCTCCCTCCTTGAGAGCAGGATCTCTTATTCCAGATTTCTAGTTGATGTTGTTTTGGCAGTGCTACAGCCCTGCTCGGCTACCAGAATTCCTTGAGTTTCTCCCTGAAAGATTTCTGTCTCCAAAGCAATGTTTTCCATGCTAATAGCCTGGATGATGGTCAAAGGTTTTCCTAGCAGAGCTGGCTGAAAAGACTGCAGACTATTTAAAAGTCCATCTGAGGCCATTTGCTACTTTGACATTCACCTATGCATGGATTATTTTATAACCAAATGGGAAGTCAATTTATAAAATTTTGGAGCGTGGGGTTTTGTTTGCTTGCACTGTGAAAGAGTATGCAAAGCTTTGATTACTCTGAATGGGAGGGAGTCTCTTCTGCAAAAAGGAACAGTGGCTCCCACCAATCTTTTAAACATATTTTTCATCCTTCCTTCTGGAAGATTGTCTGATCTTATGTTATTTATCTCGTGATTCATATTTTTTTGTTGTTTGGTTTTGGGGGTGGGGGTTGTTTTTGTTGGTCTTGGGGGGGAAATGAGGGGAAAAGTACAAGTTACTGATCTAATCATTTTATATTCTCCTGCAACTCAAATCATCAATGATAATGAATGTGAGGCAAAGAATAGAGAAGATACACAAGCATGTCTGAAAAATGAGATATGAGTACCGAACTCTGTAAGATTACTTACAGAGTCATCTTAAAGGGAAGCTGCTGTCACAAATCCTTTCGGTTTTTTGATCCCATGCAGTAAAAGCCATAATGCTTCTGCATTCTTTCCTTCTGCATCTCTGAAGGCAAAGGGCATACAGTAAAGAAAATAATTACATTCCCCCCTTTTTTGTGTTTACAAATAAGTTGAGAAGAAAATGTCAAAAGCAAGGGTGTCATAAATAAAACCTTGGTTTCTGTATTCTTTTGTTGGTTTAGTTCATTATCCTTTACTGTTACGGTAAGCACAATATTATAAAAAAACAAAATCCTTGAAATGCCTGTTTCAAAACTGTCACCGTACTGTAGTGCATATGTGGACATAGCGTTAAATTGCTTCACTTTATCTTGACGTGTTTAACGTTATTTGTGAACTGTGGTATAATTAATACTGGTTTTCCAAGGACTAATTTATTCCTTTATAGTAACAGGCTGCTGTAATGCAGTATTTTAAGGATCCTTTTTGGAGAGTATAATAAAGGTTCTGAGATTCCTTGACTTCACTTGTTTTTCTCCTTACAAACTTCCTTTTGAGTAACACCTTACAGGGGAGAATATAACAACATTATCTAACACTGATGAGGTTAAAGGGAGAGGTATTAAAACCCTGCTGTTGAGAGGTGGCTCTTCCTCATTTCATTGAACCCTGGTCTGAGATGAAATGGCTGTTGGGCAATTAAGGAGACACACATGGTAGAGGAGAACCAAACTCCTCGCTTTTTAAGCATAAAGAATAAGTAAATGCATGAAGTGCTGATGATGCTTCTTACTAATGAGTGATTTAATGTGGGGGTTGTCTTGGAATACTTAAAATATTTGAAAAAGTTATTAACGAGTAGAGGTCTTATTTTCATTAACTCGCAATATAGGATCTTGTGCAGAGTTCTTTTTTTACTTTTGAAATTCATGTGTATTTGTAGTATGCTAAACTAATCTACAAGTGTTTCACAAAAAGATCTGTAATTTACAATTGAGAAATTTAAGTGCTATTCCATGAAGTTGCTCATTATGATTTTTACATACTTCTCTTTGTTCATTTTGTCTTGCATTTTATTGAATCATTACTGCTTCTCCCTATAATGTGCCCATTGTGCAGGGCAAGAACTCTGTTAAATGTAAATTTATCAAAAGTCTTAAGTGTTTGACTTTTAAACTATTATGTTAATCGTAAAGCAGAGAATCTGGAAACAAATGTGACTGTTGTTTATCTAGATTTTATGTCTTCCAGTTCCTGAGGCTGCTTTCTTAAATAAGCAAATAAATACTACTTATATGGAGAAAACATTCTTTCTGTAATGATCCAATCTCTAAAAGTAACCGCTGTATTTAATATACCTAGCCTCCCTCATTATTTGGCATCTTATTTAATTGGTTCCCTCTCCGCAAACTGAGGGCAGCACCATCAAAGACCAAAAGGGAACCTGCAATTATTTTCTTTTGACTTAGATTTAATGATTCTGCATGGTCTTCCTTTCTCTTTAATTATTCGTTGTATAAAACTGGGTATAATATGGTTTCCTAATGAGAGAACATCCCTCTGATTAATGGGTGCAGTTGCTGCTATTAGTGTTTCACCAATTCAGATATTTCAGAGAGAATTGGAGGAGAAGCCTAATTTTGCAAGTCTGGAGAACACAGTTATTTTCAAACAAGTCTGTAACTACAGTTTTCTGTGATTTTACATACAACACTAGAGAAGTGTTGGTGTTGCACAGTGCCACCTTCTTGTTTGCTTGACCACCAGAGTTTGGATGGTTAAAAACTTCAGGTTGATAAGCTATCTTGGTTGTTGGGTTAATAAAAGGTGATTCTAAGATATGAATATGCTGATACTGGAACTTGTGCTCCAACTTTGTTTTCCTCTTGCTTATTCTTTCCCCTTATACATGGCTTAATTTATTTATGGGGTTTTCCTCACTGTTCTTTGGTTTCAGATGCGAGTGTCTCTCTGGTTTATGTGGTTTCCCCATGTGCGAGGCAGGCTCCGTTCCCCAGATAGTCTCGCGTGGAGATGGAACACCTGGCAAGTGCTGTGATGTCTTTGAATGTGTCAATGGTACGTGATGCTTTCTCTTGCACCTGGAAAGGAGGATTTTACCTGCCTGTGGGAGATGCTGGGCATTTGGTTATTTTTACCATGTTGCCAAGATCTAAGAGAAATAATTTTCTTGAGGTTCATTTACTAAGAGGGAACTGGAAGTTTTACTGGAGAAACTTAAGTGGGAAACTGTGATTTGTAAGTTGTCGTGTTTCTTTATTTTCTAAAGCACTTTCCCTGTGACCCAGGGAATTACAGTTTTAGCAGGAGTCCCTCACGGCATGTTTTTCAGGTACTCCTTTGCCAGTAGCAAATGCTAGAGTCCTTTCAGAAGTGAATTTTTTGCTAAAACACTGCAACTGCTTGTTGCAGTACCATAAACAAAAGCATGCTGTTTAGACTATGGGGTTCACTTTAAGAAACATTTGCAAAGCAATTTTTAAAATTGCTTTTACAACCTTTGGAAATTGTAAGTCAGTGTAAGAACAGACTGATTTGCATTCTTTGCGTCTAAGTGTTTAGAAAATGTTTTAAACATCTTGAATTTGTTAGGCAAGTGACTGTATCTTAGGACTGCTCTATGCTATAGAAATATGTATAGAAATGCATATGTGATTTATATGGTGAATTGGAAAGAGACTTAGATATTTGAATATTGGTAGCTAGAAGAGGAAAAATATTCATGAAGGGTTGCATGCTTACATAATTCCTGAGCATAAAAAGTTATATGTTGGTGTAATATTTACTAATTAGCAGTATTTAATCTTTAATCAGCAAAATTTAATCTTGTTTAGTGGTGCATGTATCATATGTTTGAAACAGGTTTTATTTTACATTCTTCATTGCATATGCACACAAACATACATAGAGAGACATTTCCCCAGGAGAATGTTTGTGATATTTACATGTAGTATTATTTTAAATATTCAAATGCTGATTCAAAAATAATACTTAGTACATTTAAAGAGATATTTATAAATATTAGCGTCTTTCATGTGAATAAAAGAATCTGTGTCAGGAGGAATCACAGATTCTTTAGCTTTCAGATTAATTCTTTCACTATTTGGGATAAGATTGTAGATACTGTAGAATTAAACGCAAGTTGCCCAATGTTTGTTTATATATTACCTGTTATACTAAAGTAATATTCATCGTTCTTTGTTTCATATTGATGTCATTCTGTTAAAGTATCATTTCTGAATTTGATTTAACAGTGTGGCACACTTCAATGCAATGTTTGATTCGGGATTGACTTTAGTTAGTACTTTGAGCAGAAGTGCAAAGCCAATTTCTGATACGATGTCTTTGCTGGTGTGAAACAGTCTCAAAGGTACAAACCACCTTGCTAACGTTCCTGTTACTCTTCAGTCCCCAAGTTATTTATGGGTACTGCAATCAAAATTGTTGCAGTATATATTATATTAGGTGTTAGGTGAGATGTTTAAATTGCCCACCTTTTTTGTCCTTAGCCGTTCTCATATCCTATTTCCAAGAAGGAGTTACATTAATTTTGGACTGAGTACTGTTGCCCTGCGTGTCATTGCTTTATTGCTCACTGTAACTCGCTCCAAAGGTTCAGCCTGCTTTTGGGTCAGGATTTCTTTTTGCCTCTCAGGCTTTCTCATTCTTAATGCTCATCTTAGTAGCCTACAAAGACAGAGTAAATGGGAAGGAAAAATAGGAGTTTTTGAAGGGAAGCTGATGCCAGCAAGGGAAGCAGAAAGGCCAGATTGGAGGAAAATAAAGGTTTGTGGAAGAGATAATCTTTTGTCTTGTTTATGTCCTTAAAAGATCAGTATTAAAATACTATAGGCAAGTATGAAAACTATTTGTTTTTTTCATAAGTTCCTCTTTAAAAAAAACAATTCTGAGAAACCTGGTCAGAAAAGTTAAATATTTGTGTTGGTGTTTCGTTTTTTTTTAAAAGGGTCATTTGTCTTTATGCTACTTAATGCTACAGTCAGATTTTAGAAAGTAATGCTGTGTGATGTCACTTGAAAGTGCTTTAAGTATATTTAGAAGTGAGAAACTTCCAGGTACAATTATTAATGATACTTCATTTTGGAAAGAGGAAATATTTATAAGCCTGAAGATGATAAATATTTTTATCGACAAGCTGGGAGCAATGGTGAAACTACTCATGAGGAGTTCTGTATTTGATGTTTGGATTGCATAGCAGATATTTGTCAAGAGGACAGGGTATTCATAGAGCTTGATCTGCACTGCTTTATAATTGGGTTTTTTTCAAGTACATTTTAGGATGGTTAGGTGGTTCTTGTATCAGGGACAAATATTGCAAGCCACACCTCTAAAACCTCTAAATTCCTAGAAAACTAATTCTGACAAGAACTTAGTAGGTAAATGACAAACTGGTAAAAAAAATATATATATGTATATATGTATAAAATCCCTACCATACTTCTGTCAGTTTAAAATGAAGAGGGTGGCAATGTTGTTTGTGAGACTGATGGTTGAGTATAATACCCAGTTCTGGTTTTTAGAAGGGTCTTGAAATACTAACAAGTGCAGAAGAGATATCCTAGATATCAGTGACAGATGGAGGAACTATCTTGCAGTGATAGGCTTAGATCAATTTCTTCACTTCATTAAAAAAAATTGCCATCTAAGTAACAAGAGCCAAATCTGCAAGATCTAGGACATGTTGTTCTCAGCAGTGAGGGTGGTTAGCTCTTGGCACAAACTGCCAGGAAGATGCTGAATTCCGTATCTTCATCCTTTCCAATTAGGATTAGATGCCTTTTTCAAGAGTGTGTTTTAATCAAATGCAAGTTAATGGGTTTATAGATGGTAAGCAGGGGAGTTGTGTTATCAGTGTTACCAACGAGTTCCAGTAGTTACTTCTGTGTTTGAAAACCTCTGATAACAGGCAAGAGGATGGAATAAAAAGGACATGCACAGTTATATCAGTATAGTTTTCCTGATGTTATAACATCTTTTTAATATTAGAATTAAATAATTCTACCAGGGGGAGGGGAAGGGACAGAGAAAAAAGCTGTCAGGAATACTACTGATCATCTGCGCTACCTTAAAATAAAGGCATCCATTACAAGTAAGTGTATGTAGACTGCAAAAAATCCGGTTTGTGTATTATGGGTAACTAAATTGTGTATTTAGGTAACCCTAATGATGTGCAGAGTGTTAAAGCAGGCCAGCCTTCTGTAATACTTACTGCAGGTATGTGCTGATGTGGCAGGTGCGGAGCTGCGCGTCCAGAGGGAGGATGGAAGGCTGCCCTGACCGTGTAGGAAAGAGGTCTGCTCCTGTGCAGAGCAGCGTGGGCTCTTGTTGAGGGGTTAGTTAATAAATAAGGGCAGCAAAATACGTGCCATGTAAAACCTCTGCAATCTGTTCTCTTTGTTGTTTGTCAGCATTCTGGGGACAGATCGGTTACTCTTTCACAAACATTTTTCCTAGATTTAATGTAAAACTGGTTGAGATGCTCTACGATATATCTGTAGATTCTGTGTGGTTATCTTTGTTACCAGTACACACTGGCTCAAACTAGCTTTTAGTTAATATGTCTTAGAAAAGCATATTAATCTGCTGGGAGAGAAACCTCTGCAGTAGTCACTCTTTGCAGATCATGGATTTGTTTTACCAGTTTGATTATAAATGCAGCAGTAAGTCAATACACTAATCATTATTTTCATGCTTCAGATGCATATTGGGTGTGTCCTTCAGCTTCCCATCATGTGTAACCTGCTGTTTATCATAATTTGTTATATAATTCTATAAACATTATTTATCACTAAAAAAATGTTTACTCCTGCTTGGAAAGGGATGTTTCAGTGAAAGTGAGAGTGTATATTGCTTTGTTTAAAGGTAGGTTATTCCAGTTGCCGTGAAGTTTCCCTACTTGCACTTACCTGAAATCTGCTTTCCGTCTGGAGGATACTAGATAGTATACGATTATTCGATACAAATTTGGGGAACATTTAAGAGAGAGAACGCCTGGATGCAGTCCTTCCCAAAATCCTGCATTTTACAGAAGTTAATTCAGAGTTTCTTCGGATCCACCCAAAATATATTACTCACCAGCATTCCTGGTGTGCTGCCTCTTCTCATAGGAGAGTTTGTAAGAAAGAAAAAAAAAAAAAAGATTCAGCATTAAGTTACAAGCATCAACAAATGAATCTAAAGAGATTGAAAGATGCACGTGCGGCAAGAGTGGAAGTGTTTGGAAACAAGAGAGTATCCAATGCCTGTTCTCTAATTAGGTATTGATGCGTGGGTCTCCTGAATGCAAGTTGTGCTACAGCATATACTGGCTGCGAGCTGGGCCTTAGAAATTTGAGAGCGCAATTACCGAGCATCCTGCAGCTGCTTCCTCGTGTCAGTCAGAGCTTCCACATCTCAGCAGGTTTACTTGAATACAGCCGCTACCTTAAAAGGGTCTCTGGTTGCTTTATGAAAGGCAGTAAATTGCTTGTGTGAGAGTGGTCCTCGTTAATGCGGCAGCGTGGTCCAAGGTCAAGGGGACCAGGCTGCTTTCTGCCACAACCACCTGCGAGCTGTGATTCGAGTCCAGCCTTCCCAGGAGCAGCTCTGGAGCCCCACTTCACGTCCCTTTCCCCCGGAGGTGAGGTGTGGACTTCCATTGCCCGGGCCGTTGAGAATGGGACTACTAGATGCATGCATGAAAGGAACTGGCATTGATCTGGTGAAGAAAGGATGACAACTTCCCCTGGGACTCAAGACTGTGACCCTTTCTATACGGCTGTGCTGATGATCACATGGTGCTATAGAAGTGATGTCCTAAATCATCAATCTCATTCACTTGGCATGACACCAATGACTTATAACCTGTGTTTTATAAGCGCTTCTGTAATTTTTTTCCTCATTTGAGGAGATACCACTGGCATAAATGAGGCATTTCTCTTTTCTGTGTGCCTCCTGGCTTGCTTCACGCTTGTGGCTCTATTACACAGTGGTACTGCATTGGAAGAGAGATTAAAATCCCCCTTTAATCACACTTCATGTCTCCTGTTGATGCACTT